GGATCAGTGGCATCAGTCTTACCATGTCAACAAATTGTCTTTGGATCTGACACACATCAGTGCATGCTTTGTCAAACTTTCTGTGTTTGTGGACTGTGAATACATATGGCATTTCAGCACCAGAGGGCAAATGTTCCTGCTCACAGGAATGATTTTCTGTATGACCACTAGTACTATTGTTAAGATCAGATAATGCCAGTTCCTTTGGACCAAATGGTTTCAGTAATAAAATGTTAGAGGGCATTTACTTATCTGCCAAGATCAAGATCAATTGATCTTCCATCCATCCATCCATTTTCCACCGCTTATCCGGGGTCGGGTCGTGGTGGCAGCAGGTCAAGCAGGCCGACCCAGACCTCCCTCTCACCGGCAACATGTTCCAGCTCATTCTGGGGGATCCCGAGGCGTTCCCAGGCCAGCTGGGAGATGTAATCTCTCCAGCGTGTTCTGGGTCTTCCCCGGGGTCTCTTCCCAGTTGGACGTGCCTGGAAAACCTCCAGTGGGAGGCGTCCAGGAGGCATCCTAATTAGATGCCCGAACCACCTCAGCTGACTCTTTTCGACGCGAACAGGACCGGTGACAAAGGGCAGCCCTGGCGGAGGCCAACACCCACCGGGAACGTGTCTGACTTATTGCCGAGAATGCGGACACAGCTCCTACTGCAGTCGTACAGAGACCGGATCGCCCATTGTAACGGGTCCGGCACCCCATACTCCCGCAGCACCCCCCACAAGACCCCCCGAGGGACCCGGTCGAAAGCCTTCTCCAAGTCCACAAAGCACATGTAGACTGGTTGGGCAAACTCCCAGAACCCCTCCAGTAGTCTTGCGAGGGTAAAGAGCTGGTCCACTGTTCCACGGCCGGGACGGAATCCGCACTGCTCCTCTTGAATCTGAGGTTCAACAAGCGGTCGGAGCCTCCTTTCCAGCACCCTGGCATAAGCCTTCCCCGGGAGGCTGAGTAGTGTGATACCCCGGTAATTCGAGCACACTCTCCGGTCCCCCTTTTTGAAGATGGGAACCACCACCCCGGTCTGCCATTCCATGGGCACTGATCCCGACCCCCATGCGACATTGAAGAGGCGTGTCAGCCAGGACAGCCCAACTATGTCCAGCGCCTTCAGCATCTCAGGGCGGATCTCATCCACCCCCGGCGCCTTGCCACCAAGGAGCTTTTTAACTACCTCAGCGACCTCTGCCAGGGATATGGGTGAGCCTCCCCCTAGGTCCTCAGGCGCTGCCTCCTCTGCAGAGGACATGTTGGTCGGGTTTAGGAGTTCCTCAAAGTGCTCTTTCCACCGCCCGACGATGTCCTCTGTCTGGGTTAGCAGTTCCCCCCCCCTGCTGAGAACAGCCTGGGGTAAGCCCTGCTTTCCCTTCCTGAGCCGTCGGATGGTTTGCCAGAACCTCCTTGAGGCCAACCGAAAGTCCTTCTCCATGGCCTCCCCGAACTCCTCCCATGCCCGAGTTTTAGCATTCGCGACCACCGCAGCTGCAGCCCTTCTGGCCTGCCGGTACCTGTCAGCTGCTTCAGGAGACTCCTGGGCCAACCAGGCCTTGAAGGTCTCCTTCTTCAGCTTGACGGCTTCCCTCACCTCCGGTGTCCACCACCGGGTTCTCGGGTTGCCGCCACGACAGGCACCGATGACCTTCCGGCCACAGCTCCTAGCGGCCGCGTCCACAATAGAGGCTTTGAACATGGTCCATTCGGATTCCGTGTCCCCAACCTCCCTCGGGATGTGTGAGAAGTTCTTCCGGAGGTGGGAGTTAAAGACCTCCCGGACAGGGTCCTCCGCCCGACGTTCCCAGTTCACCCTCACTACACGTTTGGGTTTGCCGGGTCTTTCCAACCGGTTCCCCTGCCATCTGATCCAACTCACCACCAGGTGGTGATCAGTTGACAGCTCTGCTCCTCTCTTCACCTGAGTGTCCAAGACATACGGCCGCAGATCAAATGATACGATTACAAAGTCGATCATTGATCTCCGGCCTAAGGTGTTCTGGTACCAGGTACACTTATGAGCCACCTTATGTTCGAACATAGTGTTCGTTATGGCCAAACCGTGGCAAACACAGAAGTCCAATAACGAAACACCATTCGGGTTCAGATCGGGCAAGCCGTTCCTCCCAATCACCCCCCGCCAGGTTTCTCCGTCATTGCCCACGTGAGCGTTGAAGTCCCCCAGGAGAACTATGGAGTCGGTAGGCGGCGCCCTTTCCAGGACCCCTCCCACCGACTCCAAGAAGGCCGGATACTCCGAACTGCTGTTTGGTGCATAAGCACAAACCAATTGATCTTGTATATTTCAAATCAACACCTTTTGTGAAAATTAGAAGTGGTCCACAGAACCAGGATTAACCTATAACCTCTTGTTATATGCCAAGTACCTTTCAGCCATCTTTGGGTTCTTAGGTCCTTTATTGGCTTCCTGGGTAATCCTACAATGAAAAATAATCGGTATGTCCTAAAAGATATCGATTTAAGAGGTGAAGGATGACACCTCTTCTCCTCTTCAACCCCTACAGATTGACCTGTGGGTCCGTCTTCTAAATGACTGCTAAAGAGCATTGTTCATCCCTACAGAACCCACATTTAAATTCCTATTGATACCACAAGGCTGCTATGATCTACATTAAATACAGCATGGAATCTAATAGAAATCCACATGTTGTAATTATTACGTTGAAACAAGCAGCTACAAAGGTGACACAACGTTATGGATGAAATCCATGCATCAGATTGCACAAGTTCAAGGGTTAAAAAGCCAGGACATGCTTGTGCAGTGTTTCCCTGCCCAGCCAAAGACGAACTACCACGTTGTTCCGCCGCTACAACCAAATAGTGTTTCCAACTGGGTCATTGTCGGGGCCATAGAGTGCGGCCTCAGCAGTGAATAATGCCCTCCTTTCATGTGCAGGATTGATTGGGGATCAGAACAGTGTGGATTTCAGGGATCAGATTGAATGGCTTCACTTCACAGCTTATCAAGCATGGCTAGATGTTACATAGCTACACTGACTGATCAAGAGGCCTCGTGTCAGAGCATGAAGCAAACCGATCTGCTGCAACAGAGGCACAGGATTAACCTGATTACATAACTCTCACCACAATGGTATATGTCTGGATTTTACCATTTTGAAATGAGGATTTAATGGATAACTTGAGGTGGTAAAATAGTTGATTTGACAATTTGGGGAATGCGCTTATTATCTTTCTTGCAGTGAGTTAAATGAGAAGATCCATACCACCAGCATGGAGCCAGGAGCCAGTTAGCTTAGCATAAAGACTGGAAACAGGGGAAGCAGCTAGCTTAGCTCTGTTTAAATGTAAAAGAAGTAAGCCAACCACCACCTCCAGCTCACCAATTAACAGGTCATAAGTGGTGCAGGCCTATGGAGGTCATGTACGGTTTTATCTCTTGGCCGGTGGCAGCGACTTCCTGAAAAAAAAACATGTAATTAGTGAGCGCTAGAGGCCAACCTTTTGACCTTTGGAAAGAGCCACGCTAGCTGTTTCCCCCTACTTCCAGTCTTTATGCTAAGCTCAGCTAACTCTCTCCTGGCAGCAGCTTCATGTTTAGTGTACAGGTGGTATGGATCTTCTCATCTAACTCTGTAAAAAAAAAAAGAAGCAAATAAGAGTGTTTCTTTAAAGCAAGGATCAACTGAAAGCACATCTATATTAAAATATGTTACAGTTAAAAAGCTGTTTTACATTTTCACTGCGATTTATGCTCAGCTTAGTTTTCCACTGCAATGAAATGCACTTTTTTTGCAGAGTGTAACTACGCAGCTGAGGGAGAAGGCATTAATCCACCAGGTGGCACTCTTGTATCTGTGAAGCCTTGTTTCCTCCTTTCACTGCCCAATATACTGAAGCTCAGACATTCTAATTGCTGTAACAGGGGCCACAATTTAAAAATCATGTGCGTAATATTCCTCTCTTTTTAAGGAAATACAGTTGTGTGTGTACTTCTAAGTCTACATGTAAGATGTCAAATGTTCCAATCTATTAATAGCAAGGCGAAAGCCACAAGTCATTTGCCAAAGAAGAATCACAATTGCCCAAAAACACGCAGGATGACCACAGACATCATAAGGAAAGAAAGGCTTCCTCTTGAAAAACTTAGATTGCAGTACAATTCTTATTTAAGCTTTAACACACTTTCAATTTCCATTTCCCCCTCAACTGCTGTCAACGGAAATGCCTGTTTCCTCTATCTCGTTAAGTATAACCTTGAAATATAGTTTGTGCAACTGGCTGGACTCATACTTGGACTAAAACTATACAATCTGCGTTACATCAATGTAAAAACTCAGCAATGACGGAATTCCAGTTCCTAAAATGAAACTCTTGAATTGTGTTACTTCGGAGGCTTACATGAAAATGTAATTGCATAATAGATATAGAGTCATCTACAACTACTTTCACCCTTTTATTTAAAATGTGTGTTATTTAATCCTTCTGGAATATCTTTTTTTTTAATCTTCTTTAATGTTTTATTTTCTGTTAATCCTAATATTTCATTATTTTTCTTACAGTTCTTGTGGTGTGTTTTGTTTGAAAAATGTTATAAATAAAGTTTACTGTCCTTTTGAAACTCAAATTGTTAAATGAACAAAACAGAAAACCCAATATTGTTCAAATAAATTAAATATATCATATTACCAATTACCACAACATGGATCCAATTAAATCAGGCTTCCAAAACAATGACAAGGGTTTGAATTAAAATGTGCTGACAGTCATACCAACACTTCAGATGAACAAATAATGGGAAATCCCTCAAACATTGGCCTGCTATATATATAAGACAATACGTGTACTATGGATCATTGATAGTGTTCACTTGAGGTCAATACTTAAAAGACATTCCTCAGCACAGGCCATGGACATCCTGATTGGTGAGTAGTGGTGAGGGAATGCTTGTAAAACGCTGCTTTCTCTTCCTCTGCTGATCATCTCGAGACACAGCAGAGACTCAGAAAGGAAGTAGTGGACTAGTGTTTTTGAATGGATTATCTATTCACTGGCAGTATTGCAAGGCATCTGAATCTGTTTTAAGGAGTAAATATGACATGTATTTTTGAGTTTACTTCCGTTCAAACTTCCACATCAGCTATGTTTATACTGCTGTGGTCACTTTTGACTTGGGTTTCACATTACAGTGACTATTCTCAACTCATGCGGCTAGTTAGCCCGAGAGGGAGACGTGCACGGTGCTGCAGCACAGAGGAGCTGCTGAGGAGAGAGCCGGGGCTTTGTTCCGCCTGCTCTCCCCCTCTCTCTCACACACACACACACATACACACACACACACACACTTTGTGCTGGGTGTATAAAAAGGGGATTGTTTTTTTTGATGCCCTCCACGCTGACAATTTGATTTTTCCTTCCTCGCGCAGTGTTCGCCATTCCCTGCTACATGGCCATGTTGGCGCGCGGCGCACCTCCAGCGGAGAGGAGCACACTTGTTGAGGGTCAGCAGTTTCAAGACCTCGTGCAGAGGAGCCGCAGCTTGACACAAAAGATCCTGCTCTCCATTCCCGACACGCACACATCCTGCATTCACGTAGAGGTGAGATACAGTTCGAGCTATATGTGCGGATGGGATATGTTTGAGCTTTGAGGCTGCTGCGGGGATGAATCAGTGCAGGTTCTGCTTTCTGCGAGGCTGCTCGTGAGCACTGTAGGCCCCTGCTACTAGTCTGACAGGCTGTTCAATGTTCAAGTCTGTGGCTATGCAGCGATCACTGTGCTTTATGGATTTGAGAAGTTCTCAATAGAATAACTGCAGTGGCAGCTTATTTCCACATACTTTTCCAATAAACATAAAATACAAAAACTGTTAAGAATACAAAATGGCTCTTACAATAACTATGTGACGCATTATTATTATTATTAGTTAGTAGCTGTACTGCTGCTAAAAAAGGACCAGCATCAATCTCTGAGTTGAGGATCTATTTCCTGCATGACGTTTCCCAACTTTTGCCTACATTTAGTTTTTAATAATCATTTGCACTCCTCTCTGTGCTTTCCACGTTTAAGGTGCTTGTGTTTAGTATTATATGTTAACATGTACTACATTTAACATTTACAGTTCCTGGTAACTATACAGGTCAGGCAGTATATACAAAGGCTATAATGATCTTATAAAATACGATGCATCATAAACTACCCAAAAGTAACTTCAGGAGCTACTTTTTTTTTTTCATTAAAATAACATGACACTGACAGGAGCCATGCTCCATAATGAGTACTTTGGATACTCATTGTAGATTTGTAATTCATGATTTTTTTCTTGTAATGGATTATTTTTTTTGGGATACTACTACTTGTACTTAAGTAAAGGATCAGAGTACTTCTGCCACCACTGCTTTTTTAAAAATCATGATGTAAATAGGTCCACAAACGCATATCAAGGTAATGTCCGCTTCCTGTTGCATGCCAAGCTGCAATGTATGCATAACATCTCCGCGTTATCTCTCCACCAGACGCTACAACTCAACTCCTCAGAAAATGCCAAGCTTGTGTATATGGCATCCACCATTGGCATCCCCTCTGCTCCTGTGCTCCGAGTTGTGTCGGAAAACTTCACTTTGGTAAGCATCTAGCAGGGAAATCGTTCGGTGTAATCAAACGATGGTTGAAGAACAAATAACAATGACCAGTTTGCTGTTCTTCTTTCCTATCAGGAGACCAGTTTGATGCGCATGTCTGAGGGTCTTCAGCTGCACCGGGCCTTGCTGAGCTCCGTCTCTCCTCGGCTGGAAAACAAATTGACTGGGCTGCTGGCTGACATCAAAGACCTCATCATTCAGATCAATAAGGTAGAATATTACTTCTGAGTCACTGTCGTTCTTGGCAAAACAATCCCGACTTTGAGACACTTTCATGATGTTGTTTTGTGTGCTCCTGCAGATGCTGAAGATGGCCCGAACAGAGGCTGTGGCGCAGCCCTCGCCAACGCCTGTGGCCTTGCGTCTATCAGGGGAATACGACGTTCAGGTGGCAGCACACCTGACCCTGGTGCAGCTCCAGGCCTTCGGGCAGGACATGATCCGCTGCCTCAGGAGTCTGGACCAGAGCAACGGGGAAGAGACCGAGAGCTGACCAACAGCTGTCACACTGTGACTGATTTAAGTTCATGTCCAAAACAAACCGTATTCTGCCATTTTTTAAAAAAATATCATATTTATGTATTTATCTGTTAAATGATTATTTTTAAAAATATATTTATATATTTATTTATGGAATATTTATTTCGGGAATTTATTTATGATTAAACTCTGTATCCCTGTCCTTTCTGTATCATATAGCAATAACAGAAAATAAAATCACCATCCTACATTCTGACAAAAATATTATACAGTATATCATTTCAATAATTAAAACCTATATTTATAACTCCCTCCAATATCTGAGTTTAATAAAAATAATGTTTAGCGAGACAGAATATTTATTATTATTTAACTTTATCAACTATTAACTCATTTTAGGGGATTGGGTGCATATTTAGGATGAATTATATGTTCTGTAAACTTTTTAAATGAAACTAAATATTTTTGTATGAATCTCTCTCTTGCTGTACTGTGTTTATATTTTCTGATACTTCAATAAAAAAATGCATTTTCCTGAAAAGGGAACAGTTACTTTTTGTGAATGACAATACATGACTCATCAAGCACCGGCAGTGGGTTACGCTGATACATGCTGTCAATAAAATTACATCTAAAATTCCAGTGGAGTCAATACTGTAATAGAGAAGTGTAACTAAAAGTGAAATAATAGCTTTTGCGTCATTATTTCTGCCAGACGGATTTCCTTGAAGAAGTGTTGCAAGTGGTGGATGACTTGTCTGATAAGCACAAGCTGTTGTCACTGCTGACAACTCCCTTGTACGTAGTGTGTCATGTGTTAGCCTCGCTAGCATGTGATCATCATCACAGCGGTGGAATCCCATGTTGTCTCTCCAGAATGTGACGCAACCATACTATGTTCTCAAACACGCAATGAATGAATCTCGCTTTGTGTAAGTAAAGAAACAGAGGATCTTCAAGATATTTTTTTTTTTCCAAACATATTTACACATTTCTTTAAGTGTGAAAAAGAAAACAAAACACAATAGCAAAACAGTGTTTACAGAAACATGCTTATAAAAATGCCATTTTCAAACAAAGAATCCCTTTAAATGGATGATCCAGTTTTTAAAAACGGTCAGCTGTACTTCACCCAGTGAGACACTGAGCCAACGGGGGGGGGGGGGACGACCCACAGTTTACAAGGCGGAGATGGCTTTAGCTGCTACTCTCCTCCCCAGCGGCAGAGTCAGGTCAGTGATGGCCAGGACAACTCTAGGTTTGGCCAGAGCAGGCAGCTTCACCAGCTCAGAAACCTGGACGCACGAAGAGACAAATGACAGGTCGATGGGCATCACAACTGAATGTGGTCTCAGTTATTTGATATGTGAACAGAAGTGTCTTACTGCAAAAGCACCCCCAAAGCGACTCAAACTACAAAACATGTAATTTAAGTTTTCTTAACTTGTTGCGATTACACATATGGATCAAATTCTGAGAACGACTCCCTCTCTCTCACATATTTATTTCTCTTCCCCAAAGCACTCAATCCTCAAAAATGTGTTTGCAAGCAGAACAAACACAAAGTTTATGAGAAAAATTCCAAACCCTTTCCCGATGGTGTGTGACGTAACAGCAACTCATCTCCCTCCTTATCTCGACCTCCACTCCCCGTTTCTTCACATCTCAGCCCATAACTCACCATTGTGAAGGGCATGAATTGCAGAATGCTCCCGCGACTTCCCTGCTCCAGGCACTCGACGCACTCCTCCATAAAGCTCTGTACAAACTGGGTGTGAGGTCCCGCCATCTTGGAGCCCAGGATGGAGGAAATGAGGAGGAAAAGGTTGGCTGTGGAAAAGAGAACGGGGTGCGTGAATCGTCGCGGTTAAAGTTATCACACGTGTACGTGTTCGTGGCAGGTGATTGGCAGTTGTTGTAGGAGGAGGGCATGCAGAGTGCACGGACGTGGGTTCATTTCTCCGTGCAAGGTGCTGGCAAAAAGGCCTGTTTGTGTGTGTGTGTGCATGTGGACGTGTAGCACAGACAAGAGGTCTCACCCAGGACTCGGTTGAGAGGGTCCCTCATGTTGACAGTGTGGAGCTGGGAGGCAGACAGGGAACTGCTCATAGATCGGTCTCCTATGAGATGTGACGTGAGAAACAGCGGAAGAACTGACAATCTGTTGTTTTCATTTTATTTTGACATATGAGGAAAAAACAAAACATACACACACATAAAGTGAACGTCAAAAGGGAAGTTGAAGTTAACTGTTAAGTATTCTGTTGAGAAAATGCGAATGGTTGTGAAAGTCGAAAAGTCTTCCCTCCACTGGCGTCTTACGTAATCTTGTGGGATGATCATCTTCTAAATGACTTGTCTTGACATGACTAGACATGTCTTTAGAACGGGTTGAGCTCAGTTGACTTTTGGGAAATAAGAAAAAAGAAAAGAAGAAAACTCTCTCAGTTTCAGTCTTAACTATAACAAGCGAAGTAGCTCACATGTGTTTTTCCAAAGTCTTGCAACACGCTGATCTTTAACCACCTGTTTGGGAATTTCTTTATGTAGCTGTAGCTCAAAGTGAAAATGCCCAAAGCTGAAAGCACATTTCGTCAGTCAGGATGATAGCAGGACCTTAAGAGTAGTTTGGAACCACAGTGCCTCTCAGAATCAATCTCCCTCCTGTTGTTTAGGACTGAAATGGTCAAAGCAAAAAAAAAAAAAATAAAAAATCCTGTTAAACTGCAGTGCTCAAGTCGGAACCTGCTGACGGTTTAAGACACTCAACAGATAATAAATGTTGCGACAAGGCTAAGCTTATTAAAGTGCTTTCAAGAACCAACTTGCTGGTAACAGGGTATCAGAAAGCCCATTTGCTTTTGAAACCCGTCCTGGTATTTGCATAATCCCTGGCTCAGACTGACGGACAAATGACTGGAAGGCCACAGGCTTCATAATTCAACCGTGCATAAAAAAAAGCCAGACATTAATAGACTGACCTGGACTGGAAAGGGCAGCAGACTCATCCTCATTGGAGCTGAGCAGACGCATGAGTTTAGAGGGTTGAGTGTCATCCAAGGGAAATAGGCTGTTGTAGTCCTGCGGCCAACAAAACACATATTAGACTGCATTGTAATAAAGATCAATTAGAATTAATTATATATATACATATATACACATACATATATACATATACATATATACATACACATACACATATATACATACACATACACATATATACATACACATATACACATACATACATATATACACATATATACACATACATACATATATACACATATATACACATACATACATATATACACATATATACACATACATATATACACATACACACGTATACATATATACACATACACACGTATACATACGTATACACATATATACGTATACATACGTATACATATATACGTATACATACGTATACATATATACGTATACATACGTA